CTCCCAGACCACGTGGGCGAACCGCGCCCGCTCCAGGGGCTGGAGGAGTCGCGCCGGCGGGGGCGCACTGCAGCGGGCCCGAGATGTCCGAAACAACACCTGGCAGCCGCGCAACCCGATCGCACCGCGGAGCTCCGCCAGTGAGCCACCAGGTGCCAAGAAAGTCCGAGTGCTCCAGAGGAGCCTCGGCAGGGGGAAAATCGCGTGGCGCCGCGTCAGCAAGAGGGGGGGGTGGAGAAGGGGGGTCGCAGCCGATCGCCGCACAATCCAGTAGATAGATGGAGGAGGGGAAGGAGCGACGCCAATGCAGACACTGCGACCACTGTGGCCTCTGTGATCCTTCCGCCGTGCGCTGTGGAGGGCCCTCTGCGACCGCGGGGGGAACAGACCGCCAGGCCACCGTAGGGGGCCGCGCTGTCACTTTCAGGGCAGCACCGTCGGGGGGAAACACGTGAGATGTGACCGCGTGGCGTGGCGCGTCGGTCGTGGCCAAGGCCACCAGGCTGGGGTGGTCCGTCACCTTGCAGCGCGCCCGGGCAGGGCGCGCTGGACGGGGGCGCAGCAAGAGCCACGCCAAGTGATGGGTGGTAGAGCCACGTGGAGCGCGTGGGGTGGGCCTATGGCCAGCATTCCCAGACATCCAAAGTAGGTGTCCCAGAGGGGGGACCTGGGCGGATCCCTGTCCCGTGGGATTCAGGTCAAAGGGGGGGCACGGGGGGGCGGATTATTTCAGCCACCATCCCACTGTCCAGGAAGGTCCCACGGGACCAGCGTGGGCTGTCTAGTGCGCAGCGCATGGGTATTGGTGCACCTCTGCCCCATGAGAGGTGGCGCGGGGGTATTAAGGCCAAGGCCTGGCGCTGCGGCGACACCAGCCCCCGTCCAGGTCTGGAGCAACCGCGAAGGAAGCTGCGCCGTGGGGGACTGACACATCACGCTCCTCAGCCCCCACCCCCTGCGTCGCTGTGCGCGGCAAAGGGCCGGTTGAGGACCGCGGGGCTGCCGACCCGGCGGGCCCCGCCCGGAACGGCGGGCCCCAGATTGCCCACGGGGTCAGCGCGACGGAGACCACCTTGTAGAGGGAGGGGGAGGCCGTCCCCAGTTGCCCGCGGTCGTTGTTGTCCAGAAAGCAAGCGTTGCGCTCCATGACGGGCAGGGTGGCAACTCTGAGAATCGACGTGTTCGGGTGGGAGAAAGGCGTGAGCCGCAGACAGGCTGCGCGGGCCGTCCTCCGCGGGAAGCAGGGGAGGGAACAGACGAGCAAGTAGGGGGGGGGGCGCGTAGCACGCACAGCGAAAGGTCCCGGACAGGGCGGGCCGACCCCTCCTACCGGGGGGGTGGGGGGTGGGCGCCAGTGGCAAAGCCATGTCTCGGTCACTTGGGGCAGAAGTCCCATCCCCGCTGACGCTTGTCTGCGTAGTGGGTTTCTCCTCTGGGGGAAGACCGCTTCCCCCTGGCCTTCCAGTCCGTGTCAGTCCACGTGTCTCGCTGATGATCCCACTCGTCCCAAGACTGCCAAGTACGCCAGGGAGCTGCAGGTCCGGATGCACCTGTCCGTGTGGCAGCCCTGCCTTCGGTGGCCCACGGGGGGATCTTTGTAGCCTCCTTGCCCTCGTCGGCCCACGGGTGTGAGCGTCCGCTTCCGATGGGCGCGTCAGCTGTGCGTACTCTGGTGTCGCGCTGCGAGAGCCTGCGTTGCTTCTCCATGATGTTTGGCCAGTCGACGTGGAGCTGGTATGCTCTGTCCATCTTGTAGGCGTCGTATCCCACTTTGCTCCATGCCTGGAGGAAGTCGTTGCACTGCTGTGCCGTGTTCCGCCTGGGGTCGGACTTGATGTTGACCCAGGCGCTCCCTTGCTTGTAGGCCGCCTTTCTGGCCCAGGCACTCCATACCCCAGTGAACGCACCTCCCAGCGTCTTTTGCATTCGCGTGATCTTTTCTGGTGCCGGCTCGTCCCTTGTGACGTCTGCATCGTCGATGGGTCTCAAATACATGGGGAGGCCACCCATGGGATCATCCCGGCGCGCCGGTGGGATTGCTGCTGTCTGTGCGTCGCGCCACCAGCCCTGGGTGCTGTGCCACGGCCTGGGTGAGCTGTGAGGCGGTGTGGCTGAGCGTTCTCTGGTGCTGTCTTCGTCGATTATGGGTGGTAAGCGCCTGCTTCGTTCCCCGATTGTCTGCGTGTCCGGCCGTCACTGACAGCGCGAACGTTCCAGGTTCGCTCCTCACTGGGGCGGGCTTCGACCCTCCTCCATGCGTCGCTAGGTGCTCCTTGATCGGCAGCCTTCGCATATGGGGACCAGACTTTCGAGTCGGCCCTGCGGGGGGGCTGGGTCCAGAGGGGGGGGGGACTCTGGGCCGACTTCCGATCGGTGGGTGCTGGACTGTCTGCGTCGTCCGCTTGGTGTGTAGGGCTGTCCTGCGACCCGGAATCGGAAGGGTCTGGCGGGCTGTCGTGTGCCTGGACGTCCGGTTCGGATTTCTTGTTGGCGTCGTCATCCCAGTCGATCCCTTCCACGTCGAAAACTGGTGGGGATACGCGAAGCGTGAAGAATTTGGTCATGCTGTCGCGTTTCATCATAATGCGACTCGTGCGTGACCTCTACCAATTAAACTGATGTTGCCCATATCGCTGCTGCTTGCCGCTGTCCCGTGCCAATTTACTTTTCATCGCTATAGAAGTAATCACAGCAATCCTCCTCGCCTGATCACCCTCCTGATCATAACCGTCATCATTATCAATCTCCTCCTCTTCTACCGGCCTCTCGTCATCGTTACAATTGTCCTCCACGTGCTCTCTTCTCTCCTCCTCATCATCATTATCATGAACGTTCCTTCCCCTATTCCTCCTCCTCATCACCAACATACGTATCACCATCGTCACCACACTCCACCCAACCTTCCTCAACCTGATCCCATGCCTCCGCATCCATAATATATCATGCATCTTGATCCTCCTCGACCTAGACTTCTCCCTCGCCATCCTGAAAACCATGATCATCCAATTCACCGTGCTCTTTACATTCCTCCATATCCGCCCCTGCCAAGACCGCTCTTTTTCATCGTCATGGTAATATCAATTTTCACCACCAACAATATTCTGCACATACGCACTGATCTACCTCCTCCCACCGGAAAACCGGAACTTACTATTTGAACCCTCTCCCGGCAGATGGCTCCTCACACCGCCAGGAAGCCCCGAAGAGGGCCCCAAGAGACATCGACGAGGCCCCCGAGAGGCCCTCGAGAGGCCCTCGATAGGACCCCAACCAAGACCCCACCAAGAGACCCCAGGAGGCCCTCAAGATGCCGCCAAGAGGCCCCACGAGGCTCCAAAAATACCCCCGCGAGCACGCAGGCAAGTGCCAACGATAACGAGCCCCCAAGAGGCTCCCAAGATGGTGCAAGAGGGCCTCAAGGGGAGTTCAAGAGGGGCCCAAGAAGGGGGATACGAACAATCATTTCGAGCCCTCTGTCCCGAGACGATCAAGACTGCAAACGCAACATCTCAAAGAAACTACCGCCACCCATCACCCTCCAGATGGCAACGACCACGCGGGCAAACGCCCGCGATGGAGTAGTCTGGGCCGGCGGAACGAGCGAAGCAATTAAAAGTCATTGACCTCCCCCATAACCACTACCATAACCACCATGATCATCACGTGCATCCCTCAGTTCTAACCAGCGTGTTTCGTCTCATGCTCCGATCATTCCTATCATACTCACTGACACAACCATAGTGCTAATCCCACTCGCATGGATAGCAACACCCTTCACAGGAATACAATGATTATGATAGTGTGCGGAAGACAACTCTTGCATATTGCACAATCGATGAAAGCATGATGATAATGAAAGGGAGAAACAACTCATCAACGAATATAACGGACTTTGGCATGTTTGCAGAATCCGTTCCTAGCTCCCTTTCTCCGTCATCATCATCACAATCGTCACTATCATTGCTGAGCTCACCTCAAACCTCATCTGCCTGCTCCTCCTCATCTTGCCGATCATCCTAATCATAGTCACTCACATCATCGTACTACTTACCATCACTGCTTGGATAAGCAGCACCCGCCCCCCAGGTATATAATGATGATTGTGATGCGGTGGGGAGGGTAATGGCGGTAGGATGTGATGTAAATGTAAGGAGCTCATCGTAAGGACATATAGGGAATTACATGAATAATGTTGGATGGGCAAGCACTCAACGAGGAATGGATGTAGGCGCATGTGCCCGAAACCGTTCCTTAATATCTTTCTTCATTGTTGTCATCACTATCATCGTTGACCCCTGATCTGCCTGCTCCACCAAAACTGGCCAATCCTCAACCTAACCAGTAACACCATCATGTAATGTGTCATCGTTGCTAGGATACGAACAATTCCACAAGGAATAATATGTCTGTGTTGAGTTGAATTGGGGGTCACAATAATATGTAGTGATTATGATCACAGGACAGAACAAGAAATCAACGAGACACGTAATCTGGCATGTATGCCCGAATAGGTTCCATTACAACTGTCTGAAGAAGCGAAGGTCCTACAGTGGACGGCAACTAGAAAACCGAATACCCCCACACCATAAGAACAACATACACTTTCAACCAACAAAGCAACCTCGCCTCCGATCGTACTGGGCTGGCACGTTTGTTCGGATGTTGCGGGCCAGCTGGCCCTCCTTTTCCTGCTCCTCTATTCCTCCTCCTCCGGTCCTTTCTGGATATATCGCGCTTGGCAATTCATCGAACTCAAACACGGCACTCTGTCCGATGCGAGCTGCGGAGACGGACCGACGGAACTTCGCAACGATTGCGGAAAGTGTGCACGGTGGTTGCGCGTTGCGTGAATCAATCACAACATCGATGGGACCAGACATGGCGCACGTATGAAGCCCCTGCTTGGACGTCATCCTCGCTCGCGTGCGCATTCAACGACAAAGCATGGTAGTATCACCTTCAATTCTGCTGCAATTATGCAATTGAACCCAGAACGGGGCCTGTAGCTCGATCGGTTTCGTCCCGATGCTCGCGTCACCCTGCCAACCATGCGCCCCCAGAGCGCAGTATAGCACGAACACATTCAAACTTTTGGAGAGGAGCTAATTCACATCACATGGGGCGCACAGGCACTGCACACTGTTCGTCATTGCATACCGCATTCGTAGCAGCGGCTGCCCACACAGGCAAGGTCTGATCCATAACATACTGTTTGGTGCATTGCACTGTTGTGCTCTCGTGGACAGGCGCACACGTACGTAAACAGCACAACGATGCCAAACACTACAGGGCTGAACCTAAACGGTGTTTTTCGTTTTCGTTTTGTTGTCGTTTTCCCTCGTTTTGTCATCAAGCCGCCACCACCGCAGAACGAAGTCGAAACGAAACCGGCCCACGAAATCGCCAAAACACCGTTTAGGTCCAGCCCTGAAGCACGACATGCGCCAGTGCCACACGCTCGTCGTATCCACCCGCGTCAACAACAACACGTTGCGGGCCCAACGCCTCGACACCTGCACATAGATGGTTCGCACAGCCGCCGCGAGCGTTGCGCACGACAGGACGGCCTTCATCGTTTGCGAAGCTCTCTCGCTCAAAAACCATGCCGCGCTTAAGTCGACCCTGCGTAACCGCGTGATCAAGGACAGCTGCTTCCTGTTAGCACCACAGCGGTGGCAAGAGAAGGAATGGAGCGGTAAAGGAGGAAGGGCCCTACGAGTGTGGTCGCAATTGCAAAGCAAACCGTTGAAATCGTGCCGCGGGGAGCTCGCCCCCGCCCCCAACCTTGAAGTCAACGCATCGCGGGGGGTCGACGCGCGGCCCGCGCGAAGGTCGCCCAAATTCCAAAGTCCAGCCCGGCGGCCCCGAACACTGCACCGAGCGCGCGCAGCGCTGCGCTGCGCGCCCGTCGGCCTCGCGCGCCCGCCAAAGCCCAGACCGTGGGCAGTCGCAACACGGCGGCCGCCCGCGGCGGCCGCGCGGTGGCTCCGCCTGCGAACGGCGTCGCCGCCCGCCGCGGCCACGCGGGCGCGGACGCCCCCGCAGCACAAGCCGGCCGCCCAGCCGGGGCCTTGCGCGGAGGCGTGCGCTGGCCATACCTGCTGGGCCTGCCTCGGGCTCTGCTTGCCGCCGCCGCGTGCGCTCCCCAGCTCCGCCGGTGCTGCAGCCGCTGCAGGCGGGAGGCCCTGCGGCGGCCCGCCTGGCGGCGCGCGAATGAAGGGGCAACGATCGGGGGGGACTGGCATGGGGGGGGGGTGCATCGCCATGGAATCGGCGATACATCGCCGATAGGCCCCCGACAGTGAATCCGCACCTTCCTGGGCAGGTTGGGGCTATCGGGCCCCTATCGGCGATCAATGGGCGACTGGGGGGCGATGCGTCCCCCCCTATGCCTATCACCCTCGATCGTTGCCCCTGAGCGAAGCACGCCCCGCTGGCCGCGGCGCCGGCGCGGGGGTCTGCGGGCTCGAGGGGCCACGCCGGCGCTGCTGTGGTTGACCATCAGGGCCGCCAGCTCCACCTCGGCCGGCAACCGCTGCGCGACGGCCGATACGCGCGCAAGCGGTTGTCTCGCCTGGGCGAGCATGGCGGGCGGCGGGAGCCGCGCACGCGCGGCTGCGCCCGCGAGCTGGTCAGCTGCCTCATTGCCAACGCGGTCCTCGTCAGCTACGCCCCGTGCCGGGTGCCACACGTGACGGCGTCTCGTGCCACCTCGACAAGTCGCCACCCAGAATGCTGGGCTGGCACGGTGGCGGGACGGCCCTGCCGCAGGCAGCTAGATGACCGTGGTGCAGTCTGACTACTTTGTGCAGTCTGTGAGCTGCAAGCTCTGCAGGGTACTGTGTGCTGCAAGCTATGTAGTGCACTCTATGTGGTTCAAACTATGTAGTGCAAGCTATGGTGCTATCTAATTGGTGCGTGCTTTGTGGTGCAACCTACGCGGAGCAACCGTGCAATCCAGAGCGGAAGCCACGTGCGCGCCCACGGGCGCCCATCAGGTGAAACCTGGCCCACACGGGCCCCAAAACGGCTCAAGAGGGCGCCAAGGCAGCCCAAACAAATCCAAAAATGGCCCAAGAGGCCCCAAGACGGCCCAAGAGGCCCCCAACAAGGCCCCTAACCCACCACGTCTCCGAGATGCCCCCAGAGGCCCCCAAGAGGCCCCCGAGAGGCCCTAAGAAGCCCCCAAGAAGAAGCATCCGAGAGGCCCCCAACAGACTTCTTCAAAGAACGCCAAAGAGGCCCCCACTGATAAGTGCTCAAGAGGCTCCAGAGTAGACTCGTTGGAAAGAGAGCGGAGAAGAGAGGGAAGAGGAGGCGTGAGGAAGAAGAAAGGAGATACCGAGGCTGCGAACAAGGAGAGGGTGTTCAAGACCTGCTCCAATTCAGCACCCTGTCTGAACTTGAGCGGGTCTTGAATTGAAGCTACTTCACGCCGCGTTCATGCACTGCTGCGCTGGCACGTTGGTGGGAATTCCCGCAGGCGTTATGGTTGGAACGATCTTCGACAAGAGGGGATGTCCGCTTACACAGCCCCTGTGGTGCAATCGATTCGATAAACATGAAGATGCCTGCTGCCATTGGCTTGGTTCCTTCATGGCGCAACGCTGTCGATACCTAACAGATGCAACACATGCTAAGCCGGAAGACAGTGCACATCTATCCATGTACTTCAATGCGCCCAGTTCTTCAAAATACCATGCTGCACTCGGATGAAAGGCCGAATGCCCAACTGCCTGGCTGAGGGCCTCGAAGAAACGCTGGACGAGCGCTTGCTGCCTGAAGGAACACTGGCGAGCAAGAGGCGGGAGCCATTGGCGGTGAAGCATGGACGAACATTGGCACGAACGAATAGATCTACCTCCTGGGAGGAATGCTGACATGATCTCTTGCTTGTCCATCGACTCCACTGCAACCGCAAACGCATCTCTTTCAGCGACCGAGCCCACGTTTGCGTAGACACCGGCAACTTTCTTGCTGGCACGGCCCCTGGCCACCCTTTCCTCGCTGCTCCCAACTTCTCTGGGGCAACGAAGAATGACATAAACATATCAATTCGGAGGTCCGCGCGGATTTCTCGGATCGGCGCTGGACCCCCTCCCTGGAGCACGGAGCGCGCCAGGGGCGGCGCCAGAGGCGCCGCCAAAGGTGTCCAGCGCGGATCCGAGAAATCCGCGCGGACCTCAGAATTTCTATGTTTATGTCATTATTCGCTCCCGTATTCTCTGAGCTAGAAGCTTTCTGTTGTGCATGTCTGCCAGGGCTCGAATGGCCTGCTGAGCGCGTGGCCTCCAGCACAAGGACGGCATAGCTCCTCTGGCCCTGTTCTGACCCCTTCCTAGACTTAGGTCGGGCGTGTCCTCCTACAGGCGGAATTTGTACGAGAAATAAGAAGTACCCTCAAACTATTCAAAACATAACCCAAAGTAGTAAAACAAAAGTCGTCCACAGACTATGTTTGGACGAAAAATAAGAAGTACCCTCAAAAGATTCATAACATCGTCCACAGAGTATGTTTGAATATTCCTCATGTCGGGACATGCCCGACTTACCTCTGGCCTTGGCTCGCGCGCCCTCCCCGCCCTGGAGGCTTCCCCGCCCAGGCGGCCCCACTCCGAAGGCGGGCTCCGAGAGGCCGTCCGTGCGGGCGGACCCCGGGGACTTGTTCTACAATCGGGGTTTTGAGGGGAGAGGACACGCGAGGGGACACAAAAGACCCTCCGAGGGCCACACTGCCGCAGGAGTGTAAGAAGGCATGGGTGGCGAAGCTCTGGGCACGGGGGTGCCCTCGATTTGGCAGTGTCGACCCACGAAGCAGTCTCGACCGTACCCCCCCTCCTCTCTTTCTGCTGGCGTTCGTGGGGCTCCGAAGCCTCCGGGGATCTCCAGGGACGTCCAGAGACCTCCTCCGCGGGCCTCGCGAGAGCTCCGAGCATCTCCTCCTCCTCCTCCTCCTCCTCCTCCTCCTCCTCCTCGAATTCCTCCTCCTCCCCCTCCTCCTCGAACTCCTCTTCCTCCTCCCCTCCTCCTCCTCCTCCTCCTCCTCAAACTCCCAGTGTTATGGAAAATCTGAAGGCGGAGATGATGTCCAAGATCTTGAAATTGGGCGGCCTTCGGGCTGCAGGGCCGTCAAGCAACTACCAGGGGCGACACGCAAACCCGCGGAGAAGGAGGTCGGGCGCCGGAGGCATGGATGGGGCGCAGGACGTCGCCCTTCGTGCCGCGCAGGGCGCGCAGCATCGCAACTGTCTCCGCGACCTCGCGCGGACCCCCGAGAGAAGGGCACCTCTCCAGCCCAGACTGACTACCTACCAGACCACGACCACCCCAACCCAACCCGAAGACCCGAATCTCGGGTTGGGGGGGGGGGTACGGGTTCCACTCGTGTTTTGTTCGGTGTTCTCCGCCCACACTGGAAATGGAGGGCAAATCGGGCTCGTCGGGTTGGGCTGGGGTGGCATGGTGGACGGCGACAGACCGCGCCGCGCGATTGTCTCAGCGTCCCTGTGGGTGCCCCAGTAGTTAGGCCCTGGTGTCCGTCCGGGCGCCGCGGAAAGCATCGCAAGACCGCGCCTCGGGCCCCCGCGGACCCTCGCGGACCGACCGGGCCCGAGTCTTGCGTGAGTCAGGGCCCGTAGGCGGGGACAGTGGCACAGCCACGAAGAAACTGCGAGCTGCGGGTCGAAACCTGGTCCGTCCTTCGTTTCCTCGCGCTGGATCCGTTCCAAAAGGACTCGAGTGGAGACGGGGTCGGGAGGTCCAGGCGTGGCTTGCTCGCGACGTCGCCGGTGGCCGAGACGTTGGCACCGCTCGGCGGAGAAGAAGCATGGGCCAGAGAACGCCGTGCCCGCACAGGTGGACGCCGCCATTTCAGCTGAACTGTCCTGACGATGGTTTGAGGCCCTGTGCAGCAACTTTGCCAGCAGCACTGACCAGAGAGTGGTGGAAAAACAGAGAGAGAGAGAGAGAAAGAGAGACAGAGAGAGAGAGAAGGACAGAAAGAGCGCCGTACGAGCCATGCGAGGGAGGAGTAGGGGTGGGGAGGCTCAGCATGTGCATGCATGTTTGCCCACCACCCAACCAACTCTGGCTATCCTCGCACCAATGGGGGCACCAGAAGGAGGGAGGAAGTGAGGGACGAGGAGGCGGGGACGAGGAGAAACGTGGGACCATGATGCAGGTCGCTCTCATCCTGGCTCGCTCTTGCGCAACACTTCGCTCGAAATTGTTGGTAGAAGCTGTGGAGATCATCGCGTATCCCGGGAAAGGCAGCCTGATCTGACGCTGCTTCTTCCTCACGGCAACAAGGCAGGGGAGAAAGAGGAATCCGCTGCTCATCAAGAGGGCTATCCCGATCGCACATCCCGAACGAAGTCGACCGCAGGGCAGTGAGAGCAAACGCCGAGCAAGCAACGTTGACCGCGGGAGACCCTGATCTACTGGGAGGGAGACGCCGAGGAGCTTCCAATGGTAAACAACAAACATTGAGAGCACAATGCGATCAGAGTAAGCGGCAAGCCGCGGCACAAGGCCTGACTCGAGCGATATCTCTGACACAGTGGTTGAAGTACACAGGGCGCTCCTTCAATAAAGCCAGCACCTACCAGGCTCATTAATTGTCAAACGCCGCATGTTCGCCATCTCCCCGAACTGATTCTCGCGGTCTTCGCATCTTGCCATCCCCTTAATCGTACATAGGAATCCTCACGAGCCTCTCCTCCTCAGTGAGAAAATTACAAAGAAAGACATGTGCGAAGCAATCGGGTACCTGCACTGGGTAACCAATTCGTGAGCCGTTGATCGACTTGTTATCTTTCATCGGCCTCCTCATACCTTGATCCTTCTCTAACCCTGACCCATCCTCCTATGACCCTCCTCTCATGATCCTGCGCTTTCCTCCCCTACATCCTGCTGTGCCAACGCTCCTGTGCCACGCGCACCAGGCGTCACTCGGAACATATTCGTAGTGCGTAAACGTGCTTACTGCATAACCAACAACGGACCGAAAACACACACCTCCACATGACAACATGAAACTCTCAAGCTTAGACCGCTCATTCTGAAGTCTGGTGTGGGATCGCCACAAACCGACATACAACAACTCGCCTCGACCATGCATCCGGCACTGTGACCTCGGCACGCTGGTGCGTGTTAGAATGCGCGTTGGCTGCCTGGTAGGAGTTTCTGTGGCTCTTCAAAGCCACCCGCTCAGCCCAAACACTCCGTCCGCACTGTACCCTCCTTGTCTTTACCCAAGATGGGTGCAGGACTGCCCAATGGTGCCCTAAGACAGCTGCGATGGGCCCAAAAGGATCGTCCAGGGAGGCCCCAAGATGCTCCCAGAAGAATCCAAGCACGCCGCCCAGGGAACCTTCCAACCCCTGGGGGCAACAAACAATGGACAACCTTAGGTCTCGAGTTCGCTTTGCTTCTGACGCTCCTCTCTAAGATGGCCTCATGAAGGCCTCTGAGAACCCCAAGATGGCCCCAGAGTGCCACCGCAGGCCCCCAAGGCTGCCCCAAGACAACCTGAAGATGACCCCAAATGGCTCGACAACCACCCACGACTGCACATGACCACCGCAAGAAGGTTCGCCCTGCGAACCGCCCAGACGGACCCAAGATGGATCGATCGTGCCGCTTCGTAAGATATATGTCGAACCGCTAACGTGTACTCACCTCGCCCCATCGAGACCCCGATAGCCATCCAAGAGCTCTGAAAGAGGCCGCCCAAGAAGCGTCCAAGAAGCTTCGACACACGAGAAAACCAGCGCAACCACGCGCCGTTACGCCCACGGCCCACCACAGCATCGGTGCGATGCTTCCCAGATTGTCGAATCTGATTATACCGAGCCGTTCGGGAGAGCTTGGCATAATCATAATGCATGCATTTCAATGCTGCGCTGGCCCTGGCACGTTGGCGGGGTTAGCCGCAGGCAGCTGGATACCAGACTACGTACTCTTGTGGCGTAAAAAAGGAGTGTGGAGGACAAGCCTGGATACGCACATATAATTGCAAAGCCACCCCACTAATCCAAGGTAGCGCACCCCCAATACCCCTGGACAGGCTCGCCTGATCCGTCTCTCACGCTGACGGTCGGCCGATAAGCAAACGTATGGGCAGCCCCACGGGACGGCCAGATTAACTAACAGATGCTACGTAATACTTCTACGACTTGTGGATCGGCCCAAAAACACGATTACGAGTGCGACCCATGCGTGTACTTTGCATATCGCACACGCTTAACACGCCACACATGGGACTATCATTTGATGGAAGAAAGGAGACGAAATGGGAGATGAGGGGATGAAATCAGGGAAGGAGGGGGGAACATGAGGGAGGGGAGGTGGGTGAATGATTCAGGGCGCCGCCTCAACAGAGCTGTCCCGTCTACGGGGATGGGCGCGCAACGCCGTAGCGCTCACATGGGGATGTCGAGGACTCCGCGTTCAAGCGCACGCCACTGTTCGGCAGAGGAAGGCAATAGAAACAAAGCGTCGCGTCTTGCGTCGGATCCCTTTGGTTGTCTGCACACCTCCTTCGAAAACGATTCGGCAGCCTGCCGTTTGCTCGTCTGTCCCAGCTGGCGTCCCAGATAGTAGCTCGCAACGGCCACCTTCCATGAGAAGATGACGTGGCCCACCGGGCGAATCTCCCCACACGGCATCGCCAGAGCACACACCACTCGTCGATGTTGCTGGAAAATACGCATGATTGGATCGGCCTCGCTGTTCTGATAACCCATTCAACCCAAGATTCAAGTACCAATTGCTCTTGGTCGCCAGTACTAGGAGCAGTCGCAAAGGAGCTGTAGTCGTCCTGTGCTTCTGCCAAGTTGTCTGACAGAGCCCAAACTCATGCGTAGCATCCTGCGCTGGGTAGTTCGCAATCTGTGTCGTAACGCCGTCAACGTCCAGCTGGAGGCGCCGTAAATCACCACAAGGCACACGACGCTGTCGAAAAGGCGAAGGTGGCTCGCCAGGGCGCACCGCTTGCACGTTCATTCTGAGTTGTGCACCATGAAATCTTCCCAGGATTGACGAATCTGGTGCTCGATGTGGTCCTCTGTGCAGGCTCCGCCCCCCAGCAATCGACCCAAATGTTTCACTTATTCTTCAGAATTCAGAGTTTCGCTGCGCATGTAATTGACATCTGCAGACTTATCTCTCCCACGCCGTGACTTCCTCGTCGCATTCGTGAAGATCTTAGTTTTGTCTGGAGGTAGCTACGGGTCCGTTGCACCAGCTTGTTCGTGTACGTCAGTTAAGACATGTACAATGTGATGTAACAACCTGTTGCTGGATAGAAAAACATCGTTGGCGAATCGTGAATTATGGTTTCGCCATTCCGTTCTGCAGCCCAAGTGTATGCCATAGCGTTTGCTCTACCAGCCCACATCTACAAGTCCCATGATATCCTCCAACAGCGTATTGACTATCAAGGAGCTCAGTGGGACATGAGGAAGGGGAGGGGGATGAACAAGAATCGAGAGCAGAGGTTATAAGAAACGTCAAACAGGACAGAAAGGGAGAGGGAATTTCGGGAGGAGAGAGGCGAGGGCCGGGAGGGAGAGGAATAGAGGCGGCATAGGATGGATGGGGTGGAAGGGGAAGGAGGAGAGGGAAGGAAGTGGATGGGAGAGGGATGGAGGGCAGGGAGGAGGAGAAGGGAGGTATACAGGAGTGAGGGGAGGGACAGTACGGGACCCTCAGGAAGAGGAGGAGGACGAGGCGAACTAGAGGAGGGACAACGGAGGAAGGACAGAGAGGAAGGAGGAGGAGGAGGAGGAGGAGGAGGAAGAAGAGCCAGATGATCAGAGATTGTCTCCAAAGAGCCGGCAATCTTCCCCGGATGCCCCGAGAAGGGTCAGGAATGGACCTCCGAGACTCGCCCCCCCTACCCAAATATAAGCTGCTCGGGATTCCCCTCCGCAGACGCCCATCCTCCAGAGGCATCTGACATTCCCGCATGGCTTCGGAGGCCCCCAAAAGCCTCCATCGGCTCGAGCACTTTCTCATCTCATCCCGCTACCTGATGGCGCCGAGCCGAACCAAGTCGACCACGACTGAACAAGAAGAACAGCAATACTCCGACAATAACAACAATAACAACACACACAGCAATACCACTACCACTAGCAATAGCAATACAACTAACAACACCATGACCAATGACACTAACAACAACAACGCCAACACCAACAACAACCACAACAGCAACAACAAAAATCATGTTAAGACTGTTCGCTCTTACCTGCCCGCGTGCCGTTCAACACGTACAAGCCAAACCCTCGGTACTCGCCCGCTTCGTCTTCGATCTTTCCCCCCTTGGGGGTATATCTTCCTTACCTGCCGCGTGCAGCCCCTGAACCAGGGGAAGAGAGGACGGATGGAAGGGGGAGGGATAAGGATGGAGCACGGGACTAGCAGGAGGGGGGCTAGGAGCAGAAAACACGTGGCAGAACCAGACGGGCCCATCGGGCGGGTAGACCCGAACGGGCGGGTCGGGAAGGCGGGCCCAAGCGGCCAGGTCGAGAAGGCGTGTTGCTGAAGCGTGAGTACTGCATGAATCGCGAGGAGAGCTCGAACGATAGCGCGATTCCCAAGTAGATCGGGAGAAAGGCCACAGCGAGTGCGTGATTCCTTAGTGTCGAGGGCGCGGTGTCTGAATACATTGCGAGAACACCCCACGCGAGAGCGGGGTTCCTGCATACATTGTGAGGAAGTCCCGCACGAGAACGCGATTATGAAATAAAAGCTGAAGAAGTATCAGGCTGGGGCCGTTCTTCTTGCTGTTGTGGTTGTTCTTGTAGTTCGGGGCCCAACAACGCAGTTTGATGACCGTTCGCTTTCCCTTGTAAACAAAAACAAGGTGCAAAACCCAATACGAACACTCGAATTGAAATAGATGCAATGGTTGCCAGGCAGGGGGGAACAGCATTACTTACTCTTTAGAACTGAGAATTCAACACCATCAACAACAAGAACAACAAACACAACACCACCACCACCAACAACAGCAGCAGCAACAACAATAATCTTTTTACCAACAACAATAACAACAAACACAACACCACCACCACCAACAACAGCAGCAGCAACAACAACAATCTTTTTAATACTGATCGCTCTTATCTGCTCGCGTGTCATCCAGTATGCATGTCCCAAACCCTGGATACCCGCCCTCTTCGTCTTCGATCGTCCCCCGTTTTGGGGGGGCATATTCATTCCCTGCCACGTGTGATTGGTGAAGCCCTGGAAAACGAAACGAAGGGCAGTCTTCTATGAGGCCACAAAGGGCGACAGCGGGGCCACTGAGGGCAGCAAAGGGGCCACGACGGGCAGCGAGAGGGCCACGAAGGGCGACAGCGGGGCTACGAAGGGCATGCGTATGGAGCCACGACGGGCGACTGCGAGCGGGGGCCACGAAGGGCATATAACGCGGGGCCACAGTGGGCAGCGACGGGGCCACTGAGGGCAGCGACAGGGCCACGAAGGGCAGCGAGCGAAGGCGACCGCGGAACCAGTACGGGCAGCGAGGGGCATCGAAGGCAGCGAAGGGCAGCGAGCGGCAACTGCAATCCCTAACGGGCTGGTCGGGCGGGCAGGCCCAGACGGGCGGGTGAAGCGGGCGGGTCGTTGAAGCGTAAATCCTGCTTGAACCGCCAGGCAATATGTAGCGGGAGAGCCATTCCTGAATGTCGAGGTGCGGCGTATGAATAAATTGTGCAGGAATTTCAGGCGGGAGCCGCGATTCGGTTGTAATTTGTGTGGAAGTCCAAAGCGAGAGCGCGATTCTTCAAGAAATTGCGAGGAAGTCTCAAGCGGGAGCCGCGATCCGGTGGTAAATTGCAAGGAAGTCCAAGGCGAGAGCGCGATTCTTCAATAAACTGTTGGGAAGAATCAGGCGGGAGCCGTTGTTGTTGTAAACCGGGGGCCAACGACACAATTTGACCCTCAAGACTTTCCCTGGTAAGAAACAGGGTGCGAGCCCCGGGAAGGGCACTTCAATCGAAAACAACAATGTGCACAGAACGGGGGGATCAACAATAATGATTCTTCAGAAAACGAGAGTTCAGCAACAACAACAACAACTACTACTACTACTACTACAAACCAACAGCTACAAGCATAGCAACAATAACAACACCAACTGCACCACCATCAACAACGGCAACACCAACAACCACAGCACCAACAACGACATCACCAACAACACCAACAGCACCACCACCACCAACAACAACAATCGCAACAACAACAGCAGCACCAATAACAGCAGCAACAGCAACAGCAGCAGCAACACCAGCAACAACAATTACCATTTAAGAACGACTGTTCGCTCTTACCTGCCCGCGTGCCATTCAACACGTATATCCCAAACCCTCGGTACCCGCCCTCTTCGTCGTCGGTCGCACCCCCTTGGGGGTAAATCTTCCTTACCTGCCGCATGTAATTGGTGCAGCCCCTGAACCAGGGGAAGAGAGGACGGATGGAAGGGGGAGGGATAAGGATGGAGCACAGGATTAGCAGGAGTGGGGCTAGGAGCAGAAAACACGTGGCAGAACCAGACGGCACCATCGGGCGGGTAGACCCGAACGGGCGGGTCGGGAAGGCGGGCCCAAGCGGCCAGGTCGAGAAGGCGTGTTGCTGAAGCGTGAGTACTGCATCAATCGCGAGGAGAGCTCGAACGATAGCGCGATTCCCAAGTAAATCGGGAGAAAGGCCACAGGGTGCGAGCCCCAGGAGGGGCTCTCCAATTGAAAGAAAACAAATCTGTTACCGGAGGGGGGATTAACAATAATTATTCTTCAGAAATGGGAATTCAACACCACGACCACCATCACGAACAACAACAGCAACATCAACAATACAAACAGCAGCAGCAACACCAACACCAACACCAACACCAATAATAAGAACACCACCAACCACAACATCAATATTAATAACACCTACAACCGCACCAACAACACCAACAACACCAGCACCAACACCAACACCAACACCAACAACAACCACAACCACAACCACAACAACCACAACCAGAACAGCCAAAACAATAACAATAACCATCACCATCAACAACACAAACAACAACCTGCTCAACCTGGCTGGCCCAGGGAGGCGGCGCCCGCTTCAGCGTCGCCCCCGCTGGCGTGTCCAGCTCCGTCGACGAGCCCTTCGTGACGGCGGCCGAGCGGGGGCCACGGCACTGCTGCTGCACCCAGACGAACATCCTCTCGTAGGAGGCCTCCGGATGCGCGTCGTAATTACGCGTTTCGACGATACCGGAAGCCCTTCTGTGTGTGAAGCGCTGTGCGCTGAGGATCGCGGAATGCTCTCACACACGCTGTATCCGAGCAGGGTGGCAATCGGAGCGCGCTCCTGGCCGCCGAAGATGCCGCTGATCGGAGGCAGAGCCAGGGGGAACAGCGGTGAGGCAGGGCGGGGTGCTGAGACATCCAACCTCGTGCTTCGCGCTGCGCAGGGCGCGGTTATCTTCGCGCCCTCGCGGCGACCCCCAGAAAAGAGCCACCCGCTCAGCCTCCAGCCCAGACAACGAAGCGCGAAGCGGGGTCATCTTCGCGCCTCTGCAGGTGACCCGGTCGTGCGCGCCTTCGCCGCCTCTGCCCTCCCGACGGGGATCTGGGCACGCTCCCCATCGGGAGCGGCCAAGAGGGGAGCGTCCAAGAGTGGGGGGCGCAAATCATGGCTGGCGGCATGTGCGCGGCCCAGGGGGGGGGGGCAAGGACGCAATGAAGTAAGAAGAGGCGCCGTAAACTCTCGGAAAATATCATGGCCCACGCCATGATATTCACCGCCCCTAGCCATCACCCCCCTCTCGGCCGCCCCCGACCCGACCGCCTTGCTCTCAGAGCACCGGTAAGGCGAGAAGGGACAGGAAGAGTGAGAACCAGGGCAATTTCAGGCAGCGTCAATAGCCCACCCCCAGCACGGGCCAGAGACCGTCAGGACGAACTACCAGTGCGAAGCCGCTGACGTGATGGGACTGGTCAGGGAGCGTAAGAGCAGCCTTCATGCTCAAGCCAGTAATCAAGCCTGCCCAACCAAGTTGGGGCTTCTGGCATCCCCCCACCAGGGAGTGCGAAACAACCGACTCTGAAATTCGAATTGTTCAACTTGGAGGCGGCTCAGCTTCAAGGGGCAAGGGGACGACAGAAAGCATAACTCCCCCCCTCGCACGCAAATGAATATCCCTACTACGGCCCAGGGCAGCGGTAGTGTGAACTGCCACGGAGTGAACTGCGATTGCCAAGAAGAACGTGCAACGATGCACGTGAAAGATCAATTTCCTGGGCTGGCCAGCTGACTGTATTCGCCATTTTCCGGATATGGGGCCACAATGACTCGGGGCCTCTGAAGGTGGCCGTCCACGTGCAGGTTCCTTATTCGCCGACCCCCGCTTGCCGGGGGTGACAAGGCGCGTGTGAGATGATTGGCTGTTCACCTGTCCCGGTCCCCCTCCCCGGGAATCCAACATGCAGTTTGAGGGGGGGGGGGCCTGGGCGCGGCGGGGCAAGAGCTCGTCAACGTGCCCTCTGGGCTCTCAGAGCCTCCATGTCCACCCCCCGACGCCTCCAAAATGCCCTCCAAGAAAGGCGCCTGAAGACCTCCGACACGGCCGATGGGCCCAACGACGGCTCCAATAGTGGTACCCCGGACAGGCCAACATAAACAAGAAAACGATGTTCCGCTTATGTTTGCATTCTCGTATTTTCACTTCCGATAGGCTTCTGGTGCCGCAAGGTGTCTCCAACACCGCCAAGAGCCCCAGGGAAGGCCCCAGAATCGCTCCAAGACGGCCCCGAAAGACCCCCCAAGAGCTCCAAAAGGCATCCCAAGATAACCCAAACAGGCAAATGATTTGACTCCAAGCGGAGGGCCCAATGTAAGATCCTCTCCGATTGAATCGATGGCGTCCAGGATTGCTCCGAGAGGGCCCCCCCCGCGGCCTCAAGAGAGCCCCCTTCCGAAACCAAAGAGGGCTTCGAAACGCTCCAATACGGGCCGACGAGCCGAGAGACATCCAAGATGACTCCAAGAGGCTCCCATACCGTACATCGACAAAATGTTGCACCACTATGCGTTGTTCTTCGCACGCATGCTTCAACCCTTCTCCCTTCTCTCCCCCTTCCCCCCAATCTAATATTGGGAGCATGCGGGAATGAGCTCCTCCAAATTCCCCAGGCGCCCGACATAATGTTGCAACACCGAGCTGTTTCGACGATCCCGGCCCGTAGCCTATCTAAAATTAGGGGGAGGGGGGGAGCGAGCACGAAACGCCGACTGCACAACGACGTCTGATGCCGCGGGTACCAGGTGGAGTAACGTTTCGTCGATGTACCCCATGTCTTGTAAGTTCAGCGTTGCTTGCCTTTTGCTTCACCGTATTCCTCTCGACCTCCTTGCTCCCGACTGATCACCTGGGGCTTCATTCCTGGTTGGTCTGTTGGGGATTTGGAAAGCGGAAAGAATTGCATTCGCCCATCCACCTTTCGGGGGTCGGCGAAACGGCGTAGGCCTTTGAATAACCTGTATTGATGTTGGGTGACCATGTCTGGTGGCCACCTCCACCGCCGGGGGCCGAACTATGGAGGTGATGGTTATGGCCAAGTCTGGTAGGGTAAACCCCCCATCGTAGCCACGGGCCAAAGGGAAACGATGGTTTTCTAATCGCCCCACCTCCAAGATCTCGGAGGTCTCGTGGAGGATGTCGATACCAGACCTTCGCCGGAACTGCTGCTGCTGCTGCTGCTCTGCTCGAACAGATTCGTGAATCATTGCGCGCGGAAGTAAATCCTCACTCCTGCCTGGAAAGGCTCCTCCTCCGCCTCCGCTTACTCCTCCTCCCCCTGCCGCTCACGGAATTTGGGAGCTCTCGACAACCATCGCGCCATCGAGGGACCAAAATTTCACGGGCCAACGGGCCAGAAGCGCGTTAGAACAGGCAAGCACGGGGATGGACAGCTCCCTCCCCTCGAGAGGGCGCGAGATCACTGGCTTGCCCTATCATGGGGTCCTCGTGGGATAATCCTTGGGCGCCCTCGGGCTCCTCAGCGGCCCTTTTTGTTGGGCCATCTTGGGACCCCTGGGGGAACTCGTGGTGGTACTTTGGCGTGTCTGGGGGCTGCCTGGAGGGGCCTTGGGCCAAGGGGTCGTCTTGGGGCGGTGTTGGGCAGCATTGGAGCTGTCTTGGGGCTTCCTTGCAGGCCATCTTGGGGTTTTTTGTGGGCCTCCCGGGCCACCGTCGAGGCCCTTCCTGGAACCATATTGAGCTAACAAAACGGAGAGTGCTACAAATAGGTGAACACCAACAGCATTCAGCCAGCTCTGCCCCTCGGTGGCCCGGAGCAGAGCCATGTTGGTCTCTCTGGATCGGCCGTCTTGGGCGCCTCCCAGGGGTCTCCGAAGCAACTGAGCGGCCCCTCTCAGGCAATCGCCACGCTTCGTGGGCCTCTTGGAACGGGACAGAATCAAAACATTTCGCCTGACAAAATCGTGCTGTACTCCTGGGATCGGACCAACGAGCCCCCTCACGCATACCCGCGTTACCCCCTGGTGTATCGAGAAACCCATGTATTGCGGTTGTAAGATTATTAAATAGACCGACAGCGCGATGGCGCCTCAAGGGGGTCTGCTTGCGATACTCTGGGCCATAGCCGCCTCACGGAGAGCGCGGGTCAATCCCTGCGAAGCTCTAAAATGAATTCAAGTGGGGCCGACGAGGTCCAGCCCCGCTTCTTTCCCCAGGCCTACTTTTTTAATAGAATGACCAGGCTCCAAAAACTTGGTTGAATCGAAAGCGAGAGAACTTTCGAAGGGCGTCAGACTTGCAAGCAGTCGCCTGCAGCGGTACATGGGGGTGGAAAATCGGAGCGAGCCTGTCTGATCACAAAGGTTTTACCTTGTGCAACGGGGTTGTGCGTCGATTGGGGATGGGCTGCGAAGAAATACATGTGAACAAATCCAACATGCACACAAAATAGACGCCAACCATCTGATGATCATTTGCCCCGCCCGGCACACGTCTGCTGGCCGCAAGTGCTAAGCATCTCCCGCGCGTTGGACCGCACGGCCTCCCGTGGCAAAATGAAGATTTGGCAACAACGACCTCAACAGGTGGGATTCGCATCAACAGAAAATCATCTCTGAATCGATTTGTGGTCGCAAGGCCGCATCCTCAACTGTGCACCCTAGCTGACTTTCTGTCGATCTATCGGCTACGACAGACTTCCACCTGCGGCCGAAAATGTCGAATGCACCTGAACATCGCCAGTGCCACTAAATTCACGATATACCGACCGGAACGAAGCTGCCTTTTGCGACCAAGCCTATATGAGCACAGCGGCCTTCGCATCGCTTGTTAAATTGTTGGCTATGGGCTGCGCGACCAATCGGAGATACGAGCATACGACTTGCGAAGATATCACCACAAGACGTGGTTGGCCGATCGAACAATCCAGCTTGCCTGGTTTCGGGGGGAGAGGGGGAGAGAAAGGGAGAGAATAACGTGGAGACACATCTGGAGGTGCATCTCCGCACCATCGTTTTCCTAAACAACGGGCAATGTTCACGCGTTGGGAATATTAGAACAAAGCAATCTCCAGGGAACTTGTAACTAATTTGGTGGCGCGCGGAGTGACTGGCGCAAGCTATGGCGCAACCCGTGGAAGATAAACAACATAGGGGACGGGGACATCGCAATTTGACCCGCGCGGGGTGCCTTACGAAATCTATTGCGCAACCTGTGGCAAGTATACAGGCTGGGGCACTCGCGATTCAGTGGCGCGCGCGGTGTCTGGCGTACTCGATGGAATGTATAACAGAATGGGGAAATTATGATTTGATGGCACGCGGGGTGGCTGGCCAAACCTATGGCGCAACCTGTGGGAAGTATACAAGGTGGGGCAACTGCGATTTGGCGGCGCGCGGGATGTCTGGCAACAAAACACGGGGAGGGCTCAGTCCCACCAGGAATCTGGGCGTAGTAAGTTCCGACAGACAGACAGACAGAAGCCTTGCGTCCAGGTGGACGCGTCCTATTCTAACCGTCTTCCCCCCCTTCGGGAAGGGGTTTACCTCTCCCCCTCCCTTTCGTCCCTGGGTATGGATTGGGACGGGGGTGTCAGAGGGTTCCTCTCGGCTCGAGATGGCCCCCCCAGGTAGTCCAAGGTGGCCTCCAAGATCGCACAATACAGCCCTATATGACCTCCGAATTCCTCCAAGAAGCCCCAAGACCACTCCCAAGCTGCTCCAAGTGGCCTCGAAGCCTCCAATGATACACCCGTCAAACCAACATCATTCAAATATCCATGGTGTTTCACCGATGCCGGCCATCTCGCCTTATCGTCTCCGATGGGGCTTTGAGGCATCAAGCTGGTCCCGTCCTCCAAAATGGCCCAACGAGGACTCAGAAAGCAGTTAACCAAAATGTAGCACACCGCAACTGCAGATAAGGATGAGGGGACGGAAAGGGGTCGCCGCCGGTCCCGCTGCAAGCGCCGAATCTTCGTCAAGACAATGTGGGTGGGTCGCGGGCGGGTCGCGGGGTTGGTCGCAAGGTTGGTCGAAGGGTAGGTCGCGGGGTGGGTCGTAAACAGGTCGCGGGGCAGGACGACGACAACAACTAGAACAATCATGTTAAGACTGTTCGCTCTTATCTGCTCGCGTGTCATTCAACACCTATCTCCCAAACCCTCGATACCCGCCCTCTTCTCTTCCCTACCTGCCGCGTACATTTGGCGCAGTCAAAAAGGGGGAGGAGGGAACAGGGGGGGGAGAAAGATGGAACACGAGAGAGATGGCTTTGGGGTGGGGGACTGAGCGCGCTCGTCATGTTTTCTTCAAGCAAGCTGGTGCTGACAAGGTGATGCTACTCATGGAGGGACATGGGTGGCGCTGCGAGCAGGATACCGCGACGGCGACGGCAGCGCCGCTGAGTCACGTCAGGCCCGGATGAATTGTGTCTCCCCGCCAATGGGGTAGGAAGGGGAGGGAGGCGAAGTGAATGAGAAGGGAGGGACAAGAGAGCACGTTGGCAAAGGAACGACGCGACAGGAGGGATAAGACGGAAACTGGAGACGGATCGTATGGAAGCGATCTAGGAGAGGAGAGGAGACGTGCAGGAGCGGAGAAGGAGATGGGCGCGAGAGGACGGGAAGGAGGTGGGAAGGGAACCCATTGGTAGGATAAATACGCGACAGGAAGGATAAGGCGGAGCATGGAGACGGATAGTAAGGACACGATCTAGGGAGATGCGAGGAGGAATACAGGAGCGGACAGGGATAGGTGGCGAGAGGACGGGAAGGAGGTGGGAGGAAGGAGGGGGGATGGGGAAGGAAGAGGAGAGAAAGAGAGAGAGAGAGAGAGGCAGCGGACGAAGAGGAGGTGCGGCAGCAGAAGCACGGTGCTGCACAAGAGCAGAAAGAACTAGGGAGAACGACGACGGGAGAACAAATTCACCAGGAGGGGAAGGAACCGATACCGAGCGACAAAGGATGAACGGGTGATGGTTCGACAGCACCGCGATGTCACTCCGTTCCGCGGGCGGGAGGGACGACGAGGTGCTGCAGCAGGATCACGAGGAGGGGGAGGCACACGAGGGAGTAAGAGGAGCCGCAAGCGGAGGAACAGAAGCGGGGAGGTCCGTTAGAACGCGTGACATCTAGATATCGCTCGTTCCGAATGGGGTCGAAGGGAAGAGGTGGAGGGGGGGAGGGGATGGAACAACTGGAAGCTAGAGTTTAGTAGTTCTGGACTCGTGGACTTACTCTCGCCCCCCCCCCCCTGGAGCCTCGAGCCGCTCGAGGGCGCTGAAGAACGCCTCGTCAAGAGGCCTTCAGAGAAAAGTGGAGGTCGCCTCTTCCCTCCTCCGCCTCCGTCCTTCATCCTCCCTCTTCCTCCACCTCCCCCCTCAAGATGTCTTGAGGTAGCTCAAGATGGCCACTAAGATGGCGCAGTGTTGGTCAATCTGTCCTACAACATGCAAGGCAACCCCAAGATGGCTCTAAATGGCTGCGGAACGTCCCACGGAGACCTCCGAGATGCCAGCGTCACTCAAACACCCACTGTTTTCAATGTCTGTTGTCTTCTCGCCGTTTTGCCTCGGGTGGGCCTCTGAGGCCTCAAGATGGCCTCAAGATCGCCCAACGGAGTTCAAAGACGAGGGTCCCCGAATATACCCAGCATAGCCCCAAGAGCGCCCCGAGAGGCGATTGTTCTGGCTCAAGAGGGGCAACCATCATGGCGTCCAATCTGACCCAAAGAAGGCCCGAAAGGCTCCCGAGAGGGTCCCAAGAGAGCCCCAAGAGGGCCTCAGAAGCCGCCCAATTGGCCACAACGAGGCCACACGATGGCTCCTCCTCCTCCTCCTCCTCCTCCTCCTCCTCCTCCTCCTGCTCCTCCTCCTGCTCCTGCTCCTGCTCCTACTCCTGCTCCTGCTCCTGCTCCTGCTCCTCCTCCTCCTGCTCCTGCTCCTGCTCCTGCTCCTGCTCCTGCTCCTGCTCCTGCTCCTGCTCCTGCTCCTGCTCCTGCTCCTGCTCCTGCTCCTCCTCCTCCTCCTCACTTGGCAGGACCGCGAAAGCATACTTGGTTCACTCCGTGGCCTCCTCTGGCTGATCCAGAACTTTCGTTTGACGGCTTCTTCCCTCCTGCTTCCGCTCCATGATCCTGCGCTCCCCTGACCATGGCAGCTCGCCTGGGCTTCATCTCTGGATGGGCTGGTGGGGACACTTTTTTGATTGCGGCCGCGAAGCAACGGTCAGGCGGCAAGAGCAGTGTCCGGAGCAACGGCGCAGTGCGAATTGGCGAACGCAGCAGTCAGGATGACAAGCTGAGACGCGCCTGCAAATAGGTAGCATATGCACGTGCACAATACAAAATAAACGAATTCAAAGATACGGAACGAGCTGGTGGGGACACGGGAACTGTCAAGAGTTTGGGAGGGAACCCCGCCCTGGCGACGAGAGCACCCCAAGAGGGCCAAGATCCGCCAAACACACAACACACTAAAGGGGCCTGGGGACACACGAATGAATACACACAGATCCCAGGACTCCCCATCTTCATATTTTCAGGGTCTTCGTTTTTTCCCCCGTCGTCCATACTTCTCCATACTTTCTTGGGAATCGACGATTCACTCTGTATGTTTTTTCCCCCTGAACACACACACGCACACATCTCCGAAAACTGAACGCCACCGCTTCCTGGTTCCGCAATCGCCGCCATTCCTTCTCGGCCCCCGAAGAAAACTGAAAACGTCAAACATCCCTCTACGTACGTCTCCCTCCCGAGACGACGGGCGTGGGGCTTCCCAGAGACGAGCAAGGGCCATACGACGCCATCAAACTCAGCGATCCTGCCTGAAAGCCCTAATTCGCCCCCCCTTTACCCCCCCCCCCTTGCAGAGCACAACGACGCCACCGACGACGGCGGCGACGGTGGCATGGCAACGAACTCGACCAGCAGGGCTGGCGGCGCCGGGGCCGCCTGTCCCCCGAGCGCACGAGCTGCGTGTCCGCCTCGCGGGCATGGGACGCCCTCGTCACACGCTGCCCCACTCTTCGTCGAAATTCGGGAAGGATGGGAAATCAAGGTTGTAGAGTCGAGGTGCTGGATCATTTTTGGTGACAATATTGGGGACCTCCAAGAAACCAACGCCTGTGGCGTGCACTATAACCACGTGCGCGCTTCGGTCAGTGCCGATTCTCAAGACACTGGTGGCAAACATGGAACCGATGCCGACTTGTATGGTCGATGCATCTCGCATTTGAATATGCTTGATATTCGGGCTCCTGGCTCCGAGTTCCACGTTATATTTCGAATGCCTGGTTCCTGGTTGCCGGCTTCCGGCTCCCAGCTCCCGGTTCCCCGCTCCAGATTCTAGGTTCCCGATTCCGTTCGCTGCTCCTCCGTAGCGGGAGGCTGCGGAAGAGGGTGGTCTTTTCCGCCCGCCCCCTCCTCCTCCGCCTCATCCGCATCCTCCTCCCCCATCCTTCTCCTCCTCCTTTTCCTCCTCCACCTCCTCCTCCTCCTGCTACCCCTCCTTCTCCTCCTACTTCTCCTCCACCTCCTCCTCCTCGTTTTCAAGACCTTTGAGTATCGACTCTATACTGCTATCTAGCGGCGTGCCCGTTCAGAGGATGTCGTTCAGGCGGTTGCCTAACTCGCTGAACTCGTCCACACCACCACTGGGCCTAACCCCTCGCCCTTCAAGGATGGGCTGCGCCCTGGGGCCCACCCCCTCGCCCCGCTGGAGTGACGAGGATGATCCAGTCGAAGGCGTTGCCGTGCACAGCGCCCGCGACCTTGGGTCTAACCCCTCGCCCTGCCAGGGGGGCAGCGTCCTGGAGCATACCCCCTCGCCCCGCGGGGCTGGCGTCGAAGTGGTCGGCGCTGTCCTTCGGGTTCCGGGCGGCTGCATCCACGAAATTCTGGGAGCCGTAGCTGCGCCGGTGGCCGCCGTCGCCACGGTCACCCACCCCCTCGGAAAGGCGGAAGCGCACCTTCTTGGCGACGGGTCCGAGGCGGTCGCTCTCTGCGCGGTCGTCGTCCTCGGGCACGCCGACCTCGCGGGGCTCAGCTCCTCGCTGGCGTAGGCGCCGAGGAGCAGCACCCACCGCGGGTCCGTGGCGAGCATTGCCCTGGATTCCTCGGTGATCCAGTCCGCAATTTCTTCGCAGGTGAGGCCGCTCCAGGCCGCCGCTGCCACCTCCTCCGAACGGCCACCTTGCGTGCTGTAGCGCAGGAAATTCGCGCAGGCGGCCAACTCGGCGATCCACGTGTCCTCGCAGATGTCGCGCTGGTCCTTGGGGAGCTGCGCGTGTGCATCAGCTACAGAGCCGCTTGAACGAGAACCGTCATCGGCTACAGAGCCGCTTGAACGAGAACCCAGACGGAGAGGATGAGGAATTGGTCGAGAGCCAGATCCAGCATCCAGAAGGCGGGCAGGGGCTGCAGGGCGCGCGTGGAAGGGACGGCAATGGCAGCGGCTGTCAAGAGTCGGCGGGCACTGGCAGCTAATGCAAAAAGCAGGCGGACAGTGGCAGCGCCCAGAAGGCGGGCGCAGCGGGGACGCGGGCAGTGGCAGCGGATGCTATGGCAGTGGCGCTGCGGGGCCCCACGACGAAACCACATAGTGAGAGGCTGGAGGCGATGCTTGAGCCCGACGCCGTCAGCTACAGTGCAGAAGCCACGGGGGAGCCACCTTGCGAGAAGCGGGGGGCGAAGCACGAGGCCAATGCCGTCAGCTACAGTGCAGAGGCTGCGGCGCAGACGCCGTGCAAGAAGCTGGAGGCGAAGCCACAGCCCGACGACGTCAGCTACAGCGCAGAGGCCACAGAGGACCGCACTGCGGAGGGCCACGCAGAGCACGAGCAGGAGGACTCGGAGGACAACGACGAGGGAAGCGAGGCGTAGCTCGAGGAGCTCGAGGAGCACCACGAGCCGACAGACCACGACGCCGTGGAGGTCACAGGCAACCAGGCTCTCGAGATCGACAGGGCCGTATGGAAGAGAAGCCGAATCCCATCGACAATCCGAAGCCCGTGGCGCGTCTTCGAGGAGGACCTCGGGGACGATATCGAGGACGCCACCGACAAGAACGAGGATAACCTGGCAGCCCTGCGAGCGCGCTGGGACACCGCGCAGGCGATGGGAACGCCGCGGGCGCCACGGCCGTAACATCCGCTGCCACTGCCCGCATCCCTGCTGCCACTGCTCGCCTTCCGGGTGCCGCCACTGCCTGCAGGTTCTTCACTACTACTTCCACTGTCCGCCAAAACTTGACCGCCGCTGCCACTGGCGTTATCTCCGCCCGCGCCCCGTTGCCACTGCCCGCATCCTGGGTACTCATACTGGCTCTTCGGGGCCTCCCCCACTGTCTTTTCTGGTACGTAAGCTCGCAGCCATTGCTCGCCTTTTTGGCGTGTTGCTTGCGGAAGTGTGGCTGATGACGTTCGGGCTCAGCGCGGTCACGCCCGTCTAGCACAGCTGCCCTAGAGCTCCCTGTAACTTCTCTTTCTGCTGGCACAGGCTGTTGAGCCAATCTGTTGCGTTTGAGCCAAGCTGTTGTCTGAGCCACGCCGTTGTTTCTTGATTATTGACCGCTGCTGCCGCTGCCGTCGCTTCCGCCAGCTGCCTGGGGCCACGCACCTCTTTTCTCGCAGGGGTCGTTCGCTTCCGCGCTGTAGCTGATGACGTCTGGCGTCCAGCGCTGTCCCCAAAAAGTCTCGTGATGCGCTCGTTGCCACCACTGGTGCCATTCTCGCAATTGGCGCTGCAGCTCGGAAATGTGTTGACGTCGAGACTGCAGTTGATGACTCGCTGCTCGCTGCGCCGCCACCTGGCGCGCTTTCCGCGCGAAGGGGACCTGTTGAGCCCATGGGGTCCACGCTCTGCCTGAGAGCGTCCTGCCAGGGCCGCGGCCGTGCCGTATGACGAGGCTCCATCGCGGCGCGGTCGGCAGATCCTGCGAACCCACGCGCCTGCGGCTGGCCCGCGCGGCAGCCCCCCCGCGGCGGGGTAGCCGCGGTTCGAGCCCCCGATGGCCCTCCTCCTCCTCCTTTTCCTCCCTCCTCCTCCTCCTCCTCCTCCTCCTCCTCCTCCTCCTCCTCCTCCTCTCCTTCCTCCGTCCTTCGTCGTCCCCCCAGTCTCTGGGCGTCGCTTGTCCCCCTCGCACCATCATGCACAGGACGGCCGCCCCTGCTCTAAACAACACAAACACGGGCGAGACCGTTGCCCTTCGGCGGGGCGCCGTGTACCTGGACCTGCGGCGATTTCAATAAACAACGCTCCGGAACTGTATCTGAGGACAGCGCAGCCCACCTCCACCCCCATCCAGCATTCCCACTCCCGACCTGGTGATCCAAAGGTCCTGGCTCTGGGTGAGGGCGGCTCTTCTGCCCCCAAGAACCGCAACAAAAACCCACAACCCCGGCCAGGACCACCTGGACCACCAGGTCGAGAGGGGGGGTCCTGGCAAGGGGGCAGGACTTGGGCTGTGCTCGGGGGCTTCGGGGCCCCTCTCTGAGGGGGGCCGCGACGCCGCGAGGGCACCCCGCAGACAGGCACGGAACGGCATCCAGCAGAGCCCCAGGCCGGGCCGCACAGGGCCCCCGACGGCCTCGGGAGGGCTCCTCTTCGGCTCTGTCTGGGGGGCACCCGTGGGCCCGCTGGAGGGCCTCTCGAATCGTCTGGAGGCCTACGTGGCCAGTCTCGGGACAGTCTCAGGCCGCTCTTGGCCCTCTCTGTGAACATCGTCCAGGCGGTGGAAGCGACACCTCTTGGAGGCTTCTGGGGGTCTTTCGGGCCGCCTCTCGAGAGCCTCATGGAAACACTCTTGGGGCATCTGGGGGCCTCTGATGGGCCATTTGAGCAGTGTTGAGGGCGTCTTGCAGACTTGGGGGCCTCTGGGGAGTTGGTTGGCGGTCTCGGCCTTCTTGACGCCCCTCTCAAGACTCTCTTGGGTTTCTGGGGGGGGCGTCTTTGGCCACAATGGGGGCCCTCTTGGACCGTCTCCGGCGGTCAGAAGCCAGGAAGACTGAGAACTGGCCATGATCGGCGCAGGTGGACCGCCGGCGCACCCCGACGTGCGGAGGGGGTGGGGCGCCGCTCGAAGACCTCCCCCAAACAACATCCGAGGCCACAGACCGCCGCCAGGAACATGCAAGCACTGTGGCTGAAACAGTTTAATCGAAATAACATCCCGAAGCCATTCGAGCACTTCCGAAGAAGACCTCCGAACTCCCCCGAGCACCCCCCCCAGAAGCCGTTCACAAACAGCTGAAAACCATCCGACAACTCGCCGAAAACAGTCCGAGAAATGCGGGAAGTCTCGCACGGTGCCGCTGGGCGAGGAGGGCCACACCGTGAGGCCACGCCTCAACGGCGTCGAGTGGCCAGCCCCCCGCATCCCAGCTCACTCGAATGCGTGAGGAGGGGAACCCCGTGAGGCCGCCGCTTGCCGCTGAGTTCTCGGCACCGGCCAGAGATGAGCTCCTCCCGCGCTGCCTCGTGCGCCAGCAAGCTCTACGGACCTCCAGAGAGGCCCGCATACTTGACGGGGGCACAGAAGCAGGCGGCCGTGGCCTGCTCACATGCCATCACAGGTCTGGGCCCTCCTCTCGGGAGCGAGAGGGAGGAGGCCTTCTCAGAAGGCGGCGGTACTTCTGAGAAGCCCTCGCACCTGCTGAGAAGGTTCCTGCGCCTTCGCGAAAGGCTTCGACTACTTCTCAGAAGGCCGGGGGACCCACCTCTGAGCCCTCTGAGAAGGCCCGCCCCTTCTCACTTCCCCCCCCGGGCTCGCCGCCGAACGCCGGGAACTCAAACTCGGTCCTCGGACCCCCCCTGGGGCCCCAAACGCACCGCTTTTCCGCGCCGCGTCCAGCCGCCGTGGCGGCGAGGGCCCCCCCTCCCTGCCCCGAAGGCCAACTGCCTCGCCTCGGGGGCTCGTGGTCCGAGGCTTTCGGGCATTTTCCTGGGCACCCTTGGCGGGGGCAGGGGGAAGGGGGGGGGGGCTCCCGGCGGTTCTCCAGCCTCGGGATGCTCTCCAGCCGTGGCCTTCGGTTTAGGTCGGGCATGTCCCCGTGCAGGCGGAGTTTGGGCGAAATACTGAAAAAACTGAAAAAGTACACCTCCATAACAAACAAAAAACAAAAAAGAACGTCCCCAGATTTGTTTGCACTGTTTTTGAATGTTCCTCCTGTAGAGGGACGTGACCGACATAACCTTCGGGCGTGTCCCCCTACGGGCAGATTTTTCTGTTGTTTCTGTCGAAGCGTCGGTAAACACTACCGTTGGGCACGCTCCGGCACTTACAAAAGCTAGAGCACCATGAGTGCCGCTGGCACGAAAATGGGGCACCGCCATCCACGGGAGCGCGCGGGGCCCCGCGCCGCCGCGGCGCGAGGGGCTCTCACAGCGAGCTGCCGGCGCCCGAGTATGCGCCGTAGCCGAACAGGGCAAGCAGGCCGATGACGGCGGTGCCAGCGAGGAGGCCCAGGAACAGCAGGTTGATCTTGCCTGGGGCGGGGGGCTGGCCGCCGGACGCCGCGGCCACGTCGGGGGCACGGGCCTCGATCTCGTAGCCCTGCGCCAGCGCCGGCGCAGGTCCGCCGGAGGCGCCGCGGGGCGTCGGCGCGACGAAGGACTCCGCGGCCGGGGCGAGGACATAGGCAGCGCCCGCGAGCATGGCCAGGGCCAGGAGGCAGCTGCTGCTACGCGCCATGGTAGTCGCGGGAACGGTTGCCGAAGTCTTCCGGATCAAGCACGGCTGGATGCAAAGCTCGCCTTGAGCCAAAATGGCTACGGTCCCCCTATGGGCAGATTTTGGACGAAAGCGAATAAGATAAACAATAGAAGGCTTCTTAGGAGCACCCCTGCTTCTTGGGAGGTGCGGGCCTTATCTGTGGATGCAGGGCTGGTACCTTCTACGAAGCACCGTCCTTCTAAGAAGCCTTCCCCCCCTCCCCTACCCCGCCGGTCGGGGTCGGGGGGGGGTCCTCCTCCTCCTCCTCCTCCTCCTCCTCCTCCTCCTCCTCCTCCTCCTCCTCCTCTTCCTCCTTCTCCGCCTCCTCCTCCTCCTCCTCCTCCTCTTCTTCCCCCTCCTCCTCCTCCTCCTCCTCCTCCTCCTCCTCCTCCTCCTCCTCCTCCTCCTCCTCCTCCTCCTCCTCCTCCTCTTTCTCCCCCACCTCCTCCTTCCCTCCCCCTCCTCCTCCCCCCTTCCCCTGCCCCCGCGTGCACGCCGCCAACTCTCGGCGGTTGTACCCAGCCTCGGGCTGCTCTCCAGCCGTGGCGACGAGGGGGCCCCCCGTGCCTCGGGCGGCCCTCCTCTGAGATCCCCCGCCCCTGGCGCCGTGCAGCCCATCCAGAGGGGGGGGCACCCTGCGTGGGGGGCGCGCAGACACGGATTGGCGATCCGTGGATGTTTGGCGCGCCGTCGCCAAGCCCGTGGATCGGGGGCGGCGCCCTCTCCCCAAAAAATGCGGCCCGTGCCGCCTCCTTCGGCGGCGGAACTCCGCGACTTCCCCCGGAGGCGGGACCCGCCGCTCAATCCACGCGCCCCTCCTCGGTCAGTGCTCGCGATCGCCCGACCTGCGCCCGCCCCGCCCCGCCGCGGCGCCTCCGAGAGGCGGAAGCGGGCCAGAAACCTCGCGAGCACGGCCTGGGCACGCCGGGTGGCCGCCCGCCCCCCTCCACCGGCGGCCCCTGGGGGCGGCGTCGGCGAGGGCGAGGGCGGAGCCGGCGAGGCATCTCGAAAGGGGGGGAGGGGGTGGTGAGGGAGAGAGGAGGTGAGATGAGCGAGCAGTCTGGGGCCAGTCATTGCAGGCGAGTGTAGGGGAAGAGGAAGGAGTGGCGAGGATCATGCTGCTCCTATCGTACATAGTACTTCAAGACCAAATCCCAAAAATATATAATTTCGAGCACCCCGAAGAGTATCGAAACAGTGTCGAACGAGTATCACCTCCTAGGGCCCGACACTTGAACAGCCTCCAGTTTCGGTACTTTCTTGGTGCTCGAAATTCTTTCTGGTGCTCCAGGCGAAAGTGGGATGGAACTTCATAAGACGAGGGGAGGGGGTGGGGAGGGTGGAGGATGAGGCGTGGGGCGATTCGACTCGCGCTTGCTCTCAGCCAAGAAGAAGGCTGCGCCCGGTCCTGGGGAGAGCGGAAGGCAACGGCGGCGCGCGCACCGACCAGCGTTTTGAGACATGAAACGCGCACGCGGTGGATCAGGAGGAGAGGGGTGAGCATGGCGAGGAAGAGAATAAAGAAGAGGAAGAGGAGGAGGGCGAGGAGGAGGAGAGCGAGGAGGATGTGGAGCAGGAGGTGGAGGAGGAGGAGGAGGAGGAAGAAGGGCGAGGAGAGGATGAGGAGGAAGCCGCGCGCGCCCAAATCCGCCCCCCGATGGACAGGCCCCCAAGTCTCACGGCGGCGGCCAGCGCGGCGTTGCCCGTGCCCGCGATATCGCACCGCCACATCCACATCAAGCTCTGTTGTTCTTGCGGCCCGCCAGGACCTACTGTTCCCGCAGCACCGCCTGGCGGCTGCGGAGGGCGCGTACCGACGCGCAAGTCTGGTTGCGCATCGCCATCGAATGGAACCTCTTCAGCGCTCACCAAAGCGCCCAACATCCACCACGACTTCGGGCAACCACCATGGCGCCGAACGCACAACCCAAATACCAACCCAAATAGCAACCACGACCACAACGACCACAACCGTCACCGAAGCCAGAGCATGACCCAGACCAGCAATCGGCGCAACACTAGCCATGTGGAAAGAAGACAACCACTCCTGGAACCGGACAAACGACAAGAACGCTCAGCACAAGAGCCATGTCACCAAGCACGGGGAGGAGGACCGCCAGGACGACAAGGAGAAGACGACCACACAGCGCAACGCCATCATCGGCACCATCATGATCTCGGACATCTTACCCACGAGGAAGGGGGCGCGACCAACCACCCCCAACGGGAGAAACCGCCAAGATCCTCATTGGCTTGCTCCACATTGAGGAACAACATACTCCACGCTCCAGATGCTCAAAATCTACGTGCCCGCCGCACTCAAGAGGACCCGGATGAATACAGAGAGACGCTCAAGGGCACAAGGAACAACGCGCAGGAACACCTCACCCAACTGAGCGAGTATATCGTCGAGATCAACCGCAAGCTCGATGGGTACACAAAGGTATACAAAGGTTAATGAAGGGGCCCTGGGACACACAAATAAATAGACACAGTAAATCCATAGACACACATAGACACAAAAAATATACACACATAAAAACACCGATATGTTTCCCGTAGTTTCTGTGTTTTTGTCTTCCCCCCCACCTCCCATACCTGTACGACCACCCTTCGGGTAATGAGGAGGTTGTGCGGAGGGGGAGGGAGAGGGGGGGGGACCAATATCCGACTCAATCGATATCACTATCGATCTAACTCAACGGGAAACCACGGGCCACCACGGGACACCGCGGGACACCTCTCGATCTCACTATCGGTCTCACTATCGATCTCACTCAACGGGACACCATCGGATCTAACTATCGATCTCACTAGTCGATCACAAGACACCACGGGACACCACGGGACACCTCGGGGCACCACATCGAGCTCAGTATCGATCTCAGTGTTGATCTCAATATCGATCTCACTCATCGGGACACCACGGGACACCACGGGACACCGCGGGACACCGCGAGTGACCGCTGGACGGGCGGGCGGGGTATAATTATTTGTTTTGACTTCGCCCTAGCAACGGCGGACACCACAGGACACCACGGGACACCGCGAGCCACCGCCCGACGGGCGGGAGGGGGAGAATGATTTGTCTTGACTCCGCCGACGCGCTACTGGGCGTGGGGAGAGAGGACACGCGACGAAGCGACGCACCACGCGCACGAACAGGGAAACGATCCCGCCTCACCGCACCGCGGCGCTCAAGGACTGGACCCAGGCCGCATCATCGAATACGAGGCCTACGCCAACAACATCACAGACACCTGTGGAAAAGGCGCCTCGCTAAGAACACGGACGACCTGGACGAGGACCGCAGGCCACTCTACGACATCACGTACCGCACCATCTCCTACGAGAGGACCAGGCACCACTGGACCTACCATAACGAGCCCACCATCTGCCCGGCTGCGGACACGGGGTCCGAATCCTACCAGCTCGACTCACCCCACCGACGTTGACTCCACCCTCCGCCCTCGCATCCAGGGATGTGCGACTACCGAACGCAGGGAGAAGCTGCACCCGCAGCAATGACCCCAGCACTGTTCGGCAACTACGAATCCCTGACCTATGCTTCCTGCAAGGCCCGTGGCACGGGCCACCCTCACCGTCAGGAGCATCAGCATCAATACCACCTCTCTCAGCGTTAAGCCTCTTACGCTGCAGCCGCCCTCGCAAGGCGCAGCATCCCCATGCCTCCACCAGTTTTACTCCACGACGGCGAAGCCAATACTCAGCTGGCCTCTACCTTTTTTTCATAACCCTCTTGTCCATACCGCATCTTGTCTACGCACTCACTGCCACCCTGGCAGCAGCAGCAACACCAGCTAATGCAACGCGGCGCAGCAACACCTACTCACTAGCACCGCCATCCCAAGAGACGCATGCCGAGTCCACACACCATCCACCTTACGCCTACTTCTGATTCTGCCATGCCTCGTACTCCATGAGCCTTGTCGCCGCCGCTTCCACGCTACACCTGCATCCACCACTGGCGCTCTCCGAAATCGAAGCACCTTGGCTGCTGCAGTCATGACCTTACCTACTACTTCCGCCTTGGCCACGACCTCCTCTGACGAACCTCGAGCCCCAGCTAACCTGCACCTCCCTCTCTGAGCATCGTTTCTCCGACCCCCATCCCCAGCGGCGTGGCCGGGGCTCAATGTCCGATTTACCCCCTAGATGGGAATTATAAGCCGTTCCCTTCGGGCTTCGACGGGGTATCCCCAACTGGGGGGTAATTTGGTGGGGGTCTCGAAAAGGATGGGGATGGGGATGGGGATAGCTTAAACGATACTGACTCTCCTCTTCTTGCCCCGCGGCCCCATCTCCCCCCGCCCTTCGCCCACGGGGCGGGAACACGCAGCGCCGGGAGGGGGTTGGGGGGCGAGATGGGGCCGCCATCGGCACGGGCCCCCTGCGCACAGGCAGGGGGGATTTTGTGGAACACCCAGCCTTTCGACAGAGACCCAAGCCGAGGAAGCCGCCGCCCCCCCCGGGGAGTCACGGCCCCGCTCGGGCCTCATCCACATCCTGACCCCTTTGACGGGTTCCCACCTCGTGCACTTTCCCCCCTCAACCGCACGCGTGGCCGCCACCTCGTTCTGACCGTAGCGCCCCGTCACCTGACCCAACTCTCCTCCTTTTGCACTTCTACTTCTATTTCTCAGGGCGGAGGAGGTCTGCGACGCACCTCCGCCGACACGGGACCTACCCCTCCCGCTGGGTGGCGCTCCAGGGGGCGCCAGCCACTTCTGCCACCAGCAGGGAGGGCAGATCAGTCCCCAGTCTCGGAGTCGAAACTGCGCATTCTGGTTTGGGGCCCCGCGTTGCAGGAATCCCAGCGAGCAGCAGAGTTGAGGCCTCCCTCAGCGAGCAATGGCGCGTGAGCCGCGGCCCCCCGCTGCCCGCGCGCAAACCTCACCTTCATCGCCTCGCACATTAGCAAGAGCACCAGGAGGGTAGGGTGAGATGTGAATGGGACGCACTCCTCAGCAGCTCATGTACGCACTGACACGGTTCAACAATGCTGAAACTCGGGATGCGCACATCTCGCACAGAAACAGTCGTCGCAATCTTCCGACCCACAAAGAAACATGTCTACGCCGTCTGGCATCTCGCAGCCACATTCCAGACAGCTCATCGGATACCCGCGCTCGTTCGTTTCCCTGATCAGCTCGCGTACCTCCGCACAGTGCCTGCGCTTTCCGCCGCTCTCACCGACGGGCGCTGGCACTTGGAGGTCTTTGCCAGCACTGCCACGTACGAGCAAGGCCAGCTTCCGCATGACCAGCTGCGGCTTGAGTCTGCGCCTCCTCGTCGTCCCCCTTTGGTTGAAAGCCCCAACGGTCTGGGAGGTCATGTGCTGGGCGATCGCCTCGTCTTCTGCAGCCAACGGTCCTCCGTGACATGGAACGTCTTGCGGCGGGCTTTCGGCCCCGCCCTCCCCCTCAGAGCCTTCGACCAGGGCGGGGGGGACACCCTTGGTCGGAAACTGCATGGCCAACTCCGCCAGGAGCAGGGCCGCCTCGGCGTGGGCCCATCCTGTGAGCAACCCCAGTCGCGTCCGCAGCCACCGCCGCCGAGCCGCCGGCCATGGGCCATGGGCGAAAAGGCTGCGGAGAAAGCGGGGAAAACGGCCTGAGCCAAAATGGCTACGGACCCTCCTCCTCCTCCTCCTCCTCCTCCTCCTTCTCCTCCTCTTCCTCCTGCTCCTCCTCCTCCTCCTGCTCCTCCGGCTCCTCCGGCACCTCCTGCTCCTCCTGCAAAAATGGCATAAACATAAAAGCTCGGAAGGCCGCGCGTTTTTTTCGGATCCGCGCTGGACCCCCCTCCCTGGAGCGCGGAGCGCCCCAGGGGCGGCGCTGGAGGCGCCGCCAAGGGTCCCCGTCGCGGATCCGAGAAATCCGCGCGGCCCTCCGAGTTTTTTATGTCTATGTATGTTTCCGTTCCCATGTGGTCGTGACCATCGGTCTTTCCTGCTCCTCGTTCTTCTCATCTCGGTCTTGTTTTGCCCCTCCCCCCGGCGCTGCTGGCACGGAGGGGCTTCGAGGGCTTCGACCGTATCGATGACACGGTCCGCAGCTTCGAGCGCGTTTTTTTATGTTAGGCGATGACGGGCGTCATGGGAGAAAGGGGGGACGGGGGGGGTATGACGTAACGGGGGCGCCCCCCCCCCCCCCCCCCGCCGTGTGGCTCCGGCACTACAGCCGCGCCCGCGCGTACGACGCGACGAGCGACGAGCGACGAGCGACGACGACGACGCGAGCAACATGTAGTTGGCGATATGCCCCACTGCGCCTGTGTACACATCGCTCGCGTGCACCACAACGCGCGTGAACACCACAACACCTGCGTACACCGCAAGAACCGTGTGCAACGCAGCGCCTGTGTACACCACACTGCTTGCGTACACTACAGCGCTGGTGTACATGTGTACACCGCAGTAACCATGTGCAACACAGCGCGTGTGTACACCACGATGCTTGCGTGCACCGCAGCGCCTGTGTACGCCACAGCGCATGTCTACACCACAACATCCGCGTGCAACGCAGCGCTAATGTACACCACAATGCCTGCGTGCAGGACAGTGCTGGTAATCGAATGCGACGTTCTTCCCTCTTCTCTCCTCCTCCACCTCCACCTCCACCTCCTTCTCTTCCTCTTCTTTCTCCTCTTCCTTCTTCTCCACCTCCTCTTTCTCCTCCTCCTCTCCTCCTCCTCCTCCTCCACCTCCTCCTCCTCCTCCTCCTCCTCCCCTGCCTCCTCCTTACCCCCTGTCGTGCGGGGTGGCACTACAGCGCACATGCGCATTTCAGCGCGCAGTGCACCACATAATGGTCTGTTGAATCGGTCCAGTTGGTTCTCGCAAGGCCAATTTAACTGGAGCCTCCTGTGAGGTGATGCGGGTGAAAAGTTAGGGTGAATGCGGGCAGACTCGGGAGAACTCGTAGATTCCAGCGGCGCTCCTTTGTCCATAGGGATTCCTTTGTATTGTTTTCTGTGGAATCCACAACCATTTTGTCATACGGATTCCTTCTAACATTATACATGCAAGTGTGGCGCTGTGTTGCCCACAGCTGCTGTGGTGCACACAGTCGCCGTGGTGTACACAGGCACTGCAATGCACGCAGGCATTATGGTGTACACTGGTGCTGTGTTGCACACGGCTGGTGTGGTGTACGCAGGCGCTGCGGTGCACACAACAGCTCTTATGCCCGCGAGCACGGTGGCGCAAACTGACGCTGTGTTGCACGCGGCTGCCGATGTGTACACAGGCGGTGTGGTGCACACAGGCGCTGTGGTGCACGCAGGCACTGCAGTGTACACAAGCGTTGTGGTGCAGATCGCCACCTACATGCTGGTGCTACCCGTCCTCCGTCTTTCCTAAGCATTCCCAGACGCCGCCGGCGCGAAACATGATGTCATCGACCCCCTCAGATGATTGCCGTGATGGGCCAAGAATAAATAACAGACTCCAGCCGCGTCCGCGCGCACGACGACGATGAGCGACGAGCCACTAGCGATGACGACGAAGACGAC